CCCCTCTCACCCCGTGCGATGCTGCGAGCGGGCTTCCTTATTCCCGCGCGTGACTGGCCGGCCTGGCCCGACCCGGTCCCCGCCACTTACACGGGGATAAACATGAAATGATCGCGCCGTCCCGTCGCGGTGTGGGTATGGGGTTACGGTTACGAACGCGGCGCCCCGCTCGGGACTGTCCCGGGCTGCCCCCACCCCCTCCTCCGCTCTGCATGACCCTGTGTCCGCCTATGGCCGCACCGAGCAGCCTTGCGTAACAGGGCGCCGGCCGAGTCGTGTCCGAGGGGCTCACGCTCACCCCTTCGACCTCCGACCCGAGTGACCCCGGCGCCCGCCACGCCGTGTTGGCTGTGGGTCAGCGCTTCGGCACGAGAGTCTTCCGGCTCCTCCTCGTACCCCTAAACGATCCAATCGCTCACGGAAAGCGCTCACCTTAGCCCTCTTACAGAGTCTTTCCTAGGCCGTCGTTATAATGCATCTTCCCGCTCACACGACCAGTGTGACCCCCCCCCCCTCCCCATTTTTTACCCTCTCCTCCAATCCACTGCCGTCACATCAACAAGTAGGCCATGACGACACAGTGAGCACGACGCTGCGCTGGACGAGGGGAGGGGTGGAGATGACGGCAGGATCAGTGTCCGCGCTCACGGGCCTCCCCCCCCCCCCTCTCTCTCTCTCTCCCTCTCTAACACCTCACTCTCCTTGTTGCAGTGCCTGCTCGCGGTGGTGGTGGCGGTGCAGGCCGAGGCTCCCGGAGGATACAGCTATAGCAGACCAAGTGGTGGATACTCCGGCGGCGGAGGTGGCGGCGGCGGCTACTCTGGTGGTGGCGGCGGCGGCGGCGGTGGCGGCTACGTCCCCGTGCCCGTCGGCGGCTCCACCAACGAGGGCCAGTACGTTGACCAGCAGCTGCTCGGCCAGATCCGCCAGATCATCCTGCAGCACGAGAGCCAGTCCTCCGGCGGCGGCGGTGGTGGCGGCGGCGGCGGCTACTCCTCTGGCCCGTCCTCCTCGTACGGCGTTCCCTCCAGCAGCTACGGCGCGCCCAGCTCTGGCGGCTACTCCAGCCGCGTCGTCGGTGTCGATCTCGAGGGTGTGCAGCCTGCCATCCAGGTCGCCCAGTACGAGCAGTCCTCCGGCGGCGGCGGCGGCGGTGGCTACTCCAGCGGCGGTGGCGGCGGCTACTCCTCCGGCGGCCCGTCCTCCAGCTACGGTGCCCCCGCTCGCTCGCCTAGCTCTTCGTACGGCGCCCCCTTCTAAGTAGTCCCCGCCATCATCACCACCATCACTGCCCGCCCCTCACAGCCCCCCCATCCACCGACACAACGGCGGCGGCTCCCGCCCCGCTGCTCCCGCGCTCGCCACGGGTAAAGCTACATCAGCGAGCGCGGGGGGGCGGCCGGGGGCGGACCGCCCGGGGGGCGGGCCCACCACCACCATCACCCCCGCAGCAACACGCGCGGAAGTCAGCAAGCAGTCCAGGGAACAGGACCAGGAAGGATTGTACATAGTCACCCACCTCATCACATCCCTCATTGGTCGCCATCCCCGCGCCGTTCCCGCTTCCATCCGGATTCGGCACGGCGCGGGTTTGCGACACTCAAACCGACCAACCGCGACCACGAGGAGCAAACACTTCATCATTTCATCAACGATGTGTCGAGAGTTTTCGTACGTGTAAATAGTAAAACCATCATTTTTATATAAAAAATAAAAAATACATGAGCCACCGTTACATTTGTGTTATGACTTGCCCGTTGAAATCCAACTCATTTTTATTTAGCAGTCCTGTGTGTGGCTTCGTTAGTAGGCAGGTGTGAAAATCAGAAGAAGATTTGAAATTGATATGATTAATTTATTACTTGAAAAGGGGAAAAGGGGGAATTAATTTGGAATGTTACATTGGGATGCACTAGAACTAATATCACAGTTTTCAATGAAAAATTTACAATTCAAGATCAATGTCAGCGTCATCATCATCTCCAGTAACACTGAAAACTTGAGAACATTCTCCAAAGCCACGATCGCGTTGACTCTGCCCGCCAATTGAACTGCTCTCAGAATCAATGGTTATACTTTTGACTTTATTAGCATTACTTTGTTGTGAACTATGCAACTTTTTCCCCAAACTTTGTAAATTTTTGAATGCATACGTTCTACTTTTTGTTGAAGGTACTTGATTACATTGGTTGTTGCTGACAGTGCTTTGTGAACTTTGCAATAAATCTCTGCTGTTATGAATAGTTTTCCAATCAGTTAGAATTTTATCTCCAGGTTGTTCTTTAAGTACTGTAGTTTCTCCATTTCCTAAAATATTAGGGTTGTCTGGCTTCTTTTCTGTACTACTGCCTTCCACTGCTGATTTAGATTTGAACTGCTGCAATTTGAGAAATGCCAGGGTAGAAATTGCAACTTTCGGAATTTTAGGACTGGTAGAGGTATTTTTTTTCGATGAGGGTGAAACAGGTGACATATTGGTAGAGATGGCTTCTTCTGCAACTTTTAGGGCTTTTGGATTGGTTACAATACTTTGATTTTTGAGAGAGGGTGACAATGATGGCATATTTGTAGAACTGGTTTCTGTCACACTATTTTGAGTTGATGTGGCAATAGGAGACTTAGCAGGAGATACGTTTTGTGCAGATGGTTTAACAGGAGTCTTCCTAGTTTTACAAGTTGGATCTTTTGTATCATTGCTTATCCCTTCAGATTGGGTCAGATTTCTCTTTTTCATTTTGGCCTGATTTTCTTTTGTAAAGCTAAACAAGTTACGAAGAGATTCCACTTTCGATTTTAAAATTGAAGGCTCTTCTGTTTCTTCGACTGATGTAGAGTTGATAGAAGTAGAAGTCCCCGGTTTTTCTTGAGCTTTATTTACTCTTCTAATATTGGAGTCCTTTTTACCAGAATTATTTTTCTTGGGTGAAGATGACTTTGGGGATACCATTTCATCAACTTTATCAATATGTTGTTGATCTGCCTTTTTTGATTTTTTGGTATTACATGGGGGTGACTGCATTCCAGAAGGACTGCTCACAGACCCCTCTTTAGACCCTTCCTTACCCTTCCCTTGGTTCTCCTTAGCAGTTCGCTTCCTTTTGCTTGAAGTTGATCTTTGCTGTTCCACAGTTAGGAATAAATTGTGGTCCTTATTGCGTCGAATGTTGCTAAGAACAGAATTTAGTTTGCCTGTCATAACATTTGGTGCACTTGCACTAGATCCGTCCCCCTCATTTGATGGTTGTCTTTGTAAAACACTTTCTGTTGTGGTCTCTTCCTCAATCAGATAATTTAATTCATCCTCATTATTACCAATATTTGATGAAACCTGTTTAGAAGGAAACACAAAATTCTATACAGATGAAGTTATATCAAAAGAGCACCAACAGAACACACATTTAAAAAAAATGTTTGCTTATACCTCCTGAATCTCTAAATCAATATTCTGATGTTCATCATGCTCAGAAAATGTTGCAAGATTATTCGACTCTTCTTCCAGAATATCCAACAGGCCAAGTTTACTCAACACTTCATTCACTAAACAAGTATGAAGAGCAAATAACAAATGAGATCAATTTTACAGATTTTAGAGGAGAAACAAAATTTTTGAGGACAAAGATTTTCTTACATTGCTTCAGATAATCTTCCATTGGGTTCCTTGGAAATGCAGTGTGAAGTGTACTTACACTTGATATTATTCCTTCATTATTCATGGATGTTTCAACTAAAGAAACAGCAATGACAGCATCCTGGACAGTTACTTCCTGATGAAACATTAGCCGAGCATGAGCTTGAGAGAGGCTAAATAAATGAGGGAAAAAATGTTATCAGAATAATTATCATTTAGATCTGTGGTTTAAGTCCAGGATGAAAAGTGACCATACCGTACAAGACTCTCCAGCATTCGGACAGTTGTGCGAGCAGCATTCCGGGCATCAGCTCTTCTCAAAGCTTGATAATAGGAACCAAGAATTCTATTTGCATTACGGCTTAATGCAGGGCGTAAAGTTTTAATTGTGCAAAAATAGGCTTGTAATTGTTCCATATTCCAAAGACCTGACAACAAACTTCCTCCACAGTTTGATTGAGATTTTGACTTCTGACTACTTGATTGTGACAAAGGGTCTCTCCCTTCCAGAATAAATTTTGAAACCATACTGAAATGTAATGAAGTTCTTTAGTAAATGGCACTACAGATTAAAATTAAAATACTACATAGAGAATCGAATAGAAACCTACTTGTCCCAATCTTGATTACAGGAATCCAAAAGCACTAAAACTAAATCAAACCGACTTAAAAGTGGACTGGCTATGGCAACATTCACTGTCATAGGTTGATTTGAATCATACTGTCCTTTAGGATTGGTGGCTGCCAGAATTGTGCAACGAGTATTTAGCTTGCAAACTATGCCTGCCTGTAAATGTATACATATTAAAGGGTCATCAGAATAATAAAAAGTGGAAAAAAGGGAGAAATAAATGTTCTTCACACACCTTGGCAACACTGATGGTTTGCTGTTCCATTGCTTCATGGATACTAGTCCTATCTCTTTCACGAATTGAATTGAACTCATCAATACAGCACACTCCGCCATCTGATAAAACAAGAGCTCCAGCTTCTAATTGCCATTCACCACCTTCCTAAAAGGACAAACAAAAACAACAACAACAAAACCTTCAATATGTATCTCTTGTGGTACTTAAAATAATGGAGGAATGCAGTATTGGCTGTGGTATACTCACACGAACAGCAGTGACAGTTAACCCTGCAGATGTTGATCCAACACCAGTTGTAAAAACAGAGCGTGGGCAAACCTTCGCAGCAAATCTTAGAAGATGAGACTTTCCAGTGCCAGGATCCCCCACTAATAGTAGATGGGACTCTCCACGAATTCTACTTCCTGAAGCTTCACTGTGTTGGACACCTCCAGTCAAAACCAAACAAACAGCCAGCTTCACTAAATACAACCCATAAACCTGTAAAAAAAATGTTATTTTGAGGGGACTACAAAACAAAGCTCGTGGGTTTAAAAAGTAAATAATTACCAGTAGTAATAGCTACTTCTTGCTAAAGATTGAATTTGCTCTCCCCATTATTTTCTCAACATCCAGTAAGAATTTACCTGGGGGCAGAAAGAAGCAAGGATGCGATTTCTTGCAGTAAGAGGATCATGAGCTTGAGCCTTCCAGTAATTCTCAAATTCATCTTTCATTTCTTGAGTGACGAGAACAGAAGATCGTTGGTCATTGCAAACCTGAAGATGATTTGCTTGAACAACAAGATCTATGTCACACCGTGAGCCAGCTGTTAAAGGGCGCCAACGTCGAAGAACAGTGCCACTACAAAACAAGAAATGCAATGTTAGTGAGTTAGTGATTGGGTATGAAGCAAATTTGGTTTTATTCATGTGACTAGCATACCAGACAACAACATCGTCACCTGGTTTGCAGGTATCAACAAGATCATCCTCCAGTGTAACCCACATGGAACGAGGCATACTACCAACATGCAATTTGCTGACTTGTTCCTGTTGAGGGATATGGGATAGGTAGTTGGATGTTACATGTAAACATATACTTCAAATAAGAGAACCAGATCAGAAAATTATCTTCTGTATTGTGCAGATTGGCAGATTACCTGAATTTTTAACTCCTGGTAGTCCTTGTAATTCTTATGATCTACTTTATCCACAGCACTAAAATTAATGCCCTTACAATGTTCTGGATTGGGGCACCGTGAAATTGGAGAGAACCCATAATACAGCTCATATTCAGCCTGTTTAAGCCAATATAGTTGGAAAGTGTAAATTAAGCTTGATTGGAAATACATTTTGGATACGCAAAAATGAAAAGTATACCTTTATGGTAAAAGAATACTTGCACTTGGCACATATATAATCTCGTTTATATTCCAGCATTTTGGCAGATGTTATACGTACAACTGTACCTGAAACCCTAAGAAAATTTCCTACATCATCATTTCTAGGAAAAATTGTTCGGTGAAGCTCAGGGCAGACTGGCAGAGCTGGAAAATGAATTAGTTAAGCTTCACTCATACATTCTCAGGAAAGGGAAATATGTAGATGTTTCAAATAGGTACCTGTAAGTCGAGCATGAATGCGAGGCTTTAAAATATAGCTATCTTTCAATTCCTCAGGCTCCGAGGCTAAAATGGATTTCTGAGCCTCATGGAGAGCAGAATCAAATATAGGCAAGAGATGAGAGGGGTGAGATAGGATACCATCACCTAACTCTGTACTTGTCTCAAAGAGAGACACAAAGCTGCAAGTATCAAAGTAAAAACGTTTGTGCTCATGTTTCTATCAAATATGGCAAATGGGAAACAAAACCAGTATGCTTACTTCACAGTGACCGAATAATGTTGTAAATCATCTTCAGAAGACATGATATCTTTTATTTCACCTTCATGATTAGATACAGCATAACCCTTGAACTTTTCTAAAGTAAAGAAGAATAAAACAAAATAGATTTATTTTTAAAGTGTCTTAATTAAGGTTAGTTAACTCATTTTTACCCTTGTATTCTTCATCTGTGAGAGACATAACCGCTTTAATTGGTCAGAAACGTGTAAAAACAAACAAAAAAATATTTCGGCTAGCAGTAGAAGATCATCGTTGTCGTTTGTTCACAACAAAAGCTCAGGAAAATAGCAAAATCGGCAAAATCTGATTTCTGAGTTTGAGATTATACATTAACCGCGCGCTCGCCAGCAGCTCAATGCTTGCACCCGTATCAAATCAAAACAAAACTAGTTCTGTTTCTGTACTCTTATTTTATGTGACTAACATCAATGTTTTGACCCGACAATATTAAAATTTAAGTTCCTTAAAATATTTTACATGACATAAATAAGAATTATACAAGGTTTATTGGATTGAATCTTGCGATACCAAACATACAAAACGGTGTTATGCTGGTGCAACTGGTGGACCGCGGGGAGGGGGAGCGGGAGGGCGAGGGCGGAAGGTTGGAGGGGGAGGGCGGGGCGGAAAACAAAATCAACACAGAATTGTGCAACGAGTATTTAGCTTGCAAACTATGCCTGCCTGTAAATGTATACATATTAAAGGGTCATCAGACATGGTTGCCACAAAATTTTCATTTCCATTTTCCCTGATTTCCAAACCCATTCTCCCTAAATTTCCCTGAGATTTAAGCACCATTCCTGGCGAAGTGCAGGGGCAAACAAATAACCCCACATGCAAGCATTTAAGCGTAC